ACCAGGGACAACCAGGGACAACCAGGGACAACTAGAGACAGGTAGAGACAACTAGGGACAACCTGAGACAACTAGGGACAACTGGAGACAACTAGAGACAACCAGGGACAACTAGAGACAGCTAGGGACAACTAGAGACAACCAGGGACAACTAGGGACAACTAGGGACAACCAGGGACAACCAGGAACCACCAGGGACAATCAGGGACAACTAGAGACAACTAGGGACAACTAAGGACAACCATGGGCAACCAGGGACAAGCAGACCATGAGTCCCAACAGAAGGTAGCGCCAGGACAGATGAGGGGACAGAAAGATGAGACAGGATAGACAAAGGGACAGTCATCGTGGGGACGACCCGTTTAGAGGCGAGTCCATGTCCACCGTGAAGACACCAGGACCTGATAGGGAGCGGACGTGGCTGAGTGGCGCGGCTTTGGGCGGAGGGTCTGTGGGGCGTCCTGGGTCGCGCCTCCCTTCGGCCGGCGTCTGGACGTACGGGCAGACGGCTGCCACTCGGCCGGAGATGGCGGCACTGGGTTGTGGGGTAGTCCGGGGGGAGGACGGGCCCTCATTCCGGCTCAGCTGGAGGGGAGACGGGCGTCAGAGAGGACGGCGAGACAGGAAGTGGTGGAGGACAAGATCAGTACCTCTGCTCTTTTCCTGTGGAGACGGTTCCTCAGCTCTCCGATCCGGCGGTCCATGGCCGCCACTTGACCTGTCCGCTTGGACAGCAGCTCCTGGTTCTGGGCCAGCCGGCCGCTCTGCTCCAGGTTCTGGTGGTTCCGGGCCTGAAACATAGCCAGTACCAGTACCAGTTCGTCTACATGAGTGACAAAATGAAGGCCAACAGCCTTCAATTGACTTCTATGTTGACTTCTAAACAACGTAAAGCCAACCTACACAAACCATCATCACAGTTTGAAACATATTTCAGTGTCATGAAATGTTGAAATGGGCTGCACAATGGATCAGTTGGTAGAGCTGATGCGTTACAGCAAGAAGGTTCTGTGTTCGATTCCCGGCCCCAGTCTTTCTGCATGTTCTCCCTGTGCATGGTGGGTTCTCTCCAGGTACGCCGGTTTCCTCCCACAGTCCAAAAACATGACTGTCAGGTTAATTGGCGTCTCCAAACTGTCCCTAGGTGTGTGTGTGGATGGTTGTTTGTCCTGTCTGTCTCTGTGTTGCCCTGCGACAGACAGGTGACCTGTCCAGGTGACCCTGCCTCTCACCCGGAACGTTAGCTGGAGAGGCAGCAGCACCTCCTGACCCCATTAGGGACAAGGGAGTTAGAAAATGGATGGATGGATGAAATGTTCAAATGTATTTTATTCTGAAGAACCATCGCGACTCCTTCCTTGTCTGGCTGCACCAGGTGTCGCTTGTTTATTCATTTTAGACAGATTTAATCCAGCAGCGCCTCCTACTGGCTCCTAGTACCCATCAGAGCCATCAAAACCTGGGCTCACCTGCAGCTCCTGGTAGAGCTTCCTCAGCTCCACGCCAGCAGAGCCGGATAACAAGGAGCCCTTCAGGGCGGTGGGTCCCACCGGGGAGCCTGAGGTGTCCGCCAGCCTCTCGGCATCGTTCTGCAGCTGGAGGCGGCCCCTCCTCAAGTCCTCCAACTGCTGGGTGAGCTGAACACCAGGAGGAAGACGAGAGGACGATGAAGAGCAAGAAAAGGCTAAAACACATCAAAGCAGCAGCAGCTGTTTGATTCTAATAGGAACAATTCATGCTGTTACAGCGCCCCCTACCTGCCGCAGCGCCCCCTCCCTGCCGCAGCGCCCCCTACCTGCCGCAGCGCCCCTACCTGCTCCACCCTGCTGACGGCAGCCTGCAGCTCATCTTGCTTCTCCTGGAACAAGCTGCTCACATGGTGGATCTCTGCGGCTGCAGACAGAAGCAG